AGTCAGGAGGCGAGGCTGAGGAGCCTAACGCCGAGGGAGGCCCGGAAGGAAAAGACAAGAAATCGGGCCTTCTCGGCGGTGGCTCCTCGCCTCTGGAATAATCTACCTCCTAAGATTCACGTGGCTCCCTCTCTGGGTATTTTCAAGAATCAATTAAAAACATGGATGTTTCGGCAGTCCTTCCCATCAGATAATTCCTGATGCCCTTTTCTTTCCTTCCTATTGTCTCCCCTACCTTGTTTAATGTTTTTGCTATTTAAAAATTGTTTATATATATATATATATATATACCTTTTGTATTATTTTATGTTGTTAGCCGCCTAAAGTGGTCCTGACCTGACCAGATAGGTGGGATATTTAAAAAAAATTACATACCTATTTAAAAATAATTTTGTCTCAGGCTGTTAGGAACCTGTAATATCCTAATAAACAAAAAACAGGAACCATCCTCCACCCAAGTCTCACAATGTGTGGAAATTTTACATCGCTCTATATACAAACTTCTACTCAACTCCTTAAAGCTAGTGTGTAGGCAGTGAAGCCCTCAGGATCCCTGAAATGGTAAGCCAGACCTCTAAAGTCTAATTATCTATTTCATTGGCACATAGACTAGATTTATACTGCCACAGCCTGGAAAATGACTGTAGATGCCTGTATTCTCTCTCTTATCTATACATCAATTTTGTATTACAACAACCCTGTGAGGTAGAAACGTCCAAGAGGTAACATGTTCGACCCCTGGAGCAAAAGAATTGGGACATTTTCTGTAACAAAATCCAATCATAAAAACTAAGAGAGCTCTTCCGTTTTTATTTTTGGTTTACTGTACTTTGTAAAACAGACACGGTCATCTGCTGGAAGCAGAGGCTCGTCTCTCTTTCCCCCCCCCCAACACACTCCGATGAACTACAACTCCCAGCGATCCCCGGGAGGAAAGGAGAGGCCTGACGAGAAGGAGGAACGCGTGCAAGGGTTTTCCGGGGAAGGCGGAGCCTGAGGATTGGTGCCGCCGAGGGAAGCATGGACGGCGCATGCAAGTGGCGGGAGCTTCCTTCCTCGCCCAGCCTCCGGAACCTCACGGCGCCCGACTACGGCGTGCCCGGGAAGCGGCAGCGGCCGGCCTTGCAGGACCTTGCGCGGGCCCACATTGAGTCCTTCAATTTCGCCGTCGGGGATGGGCTGCTCCGGGCTGTGCAGGTGAGGGAGGGAGGCGGGAAGAAGGGGGAAGGGAGAAGAAACCTGGAGGGAACAGAACCGGTGGAATTGGTTAAAGAGTCTCTGGGAGAGCAAAAAACATTAAATAACTTAAAAATAGGACTTGGTCAGTTCTTCTTTTTTAAGAGTACTATCCGAAGACTCTCCTTAACCAGCCGTGCTGATGGTGGCGTTAGGGAAGTTGTAAATACTGTATTTTTAAAAAAACAGTTTTTTTTGCAAAGCCTGCCGAAAACAACCCAAAGCTCCAAAACACTAAAAGAAAAGTGTTCCAGTCTCCTCTTCTTTCTAAAAAGCAACTTGGGAGCACCAGATCCTGGGTATTCTTGGCTTGAAACATTTATTTATTTATTTAATCATTTGTAGATTACTTTCCCTCTAGTGAGTTGGGGGAACCTGGGTTTTCTTTATCTTAAAAAAATTATTGTGTAGTATATTATTCCATATAAATACACACCCCAGTGGAGATACATCTGGATTTCCTCCTAAAGCTGATGGTGATGATGATTGTGGGAAAGGATTGCATGTGACGCAGAAGTCACATTCCTGACTCCTATGGTGGACCAAAAGAACCAGGAGGCAATACATCTTGGAGTCCTCTTGTTTCCTGATGCTTATTGCCTCTCCATCTTACCAGGGTCTCTGTTGTTACTGGTACAGGACAAACAGGATATATTATTCAGACTGGTTCCTCTGGCTGAGGAAGAAAAGGATCTGATGGCTTTCTCTTGTCCTGGTTTGATTTTTTTTCACTGATAGTCTGTGTAATTCAGACCGTTGTAGATATGATAATCATCTGAATTGAATCCACCCATTCCTGTCCATTTTAGTTCACTGACGCCCAGGAGGTCAATGTATATTCTTGCCACCTCCAGTTTGACCACATTCAGCTTCCCGAGGTTCATAGATCTTACATTCCAGGTTCCTATGCAGTATTCTTTGCAGCATTGGACTTTCCTTTCACTTCCAGGCGCATCCGCAGCTGAGCGTCCTTTCGGCTTTGGCCGGACCGCTTCATTAGCTCTGGAGCTACTTGTCCTTGTCCTCCGCTCTTCCTCAGTAGCATGTTGGACGCCTTCTGACCTGAGGGGCTCATCTTCCAGCATCATATCTTTTAGCCTTTTGTTTCTGTTCATGGGGTTTTCTTGGCAAAGATACTGGAGTGGCTTGCCAGTTCCTGCTCCAGGTGGATTGCGTTTAGTCAGACCTCTCCACTATGACCTGTCTGTCTTGGGTGTCCCTGCACAGCATAGCCCATAGCTTCTCTGAATTACTCAAGCCCCTTCGCCACGACAAGGCAGCTATATATATCTTCTGCAGGCAAAGTTGGTGCTCTGCCACTGAGCCTGAACTAATCTGTGCCACTTTTCTCTTTTAGGCCATTCCACCTTTGGAGTTTGCTTATAAGAATGACCAGATCACTTTGGCCATTTCAGGGGCCATCATTAGTCCTCCAATGGTACCAAAAGGGACTATATGTAAAGACTTGAAAGTTTACCCAGCAGAATGCCGAGGACGCAGAAGCACCTACCGTGGAAAACTAACTGTAAGCAACAAATGCAAAGGAATAAAAGGCTCAGAATGTTTAGAAGGGTGGAGGCCGTGGTCATGTCCTGTCCAGAATCCAAGAAGTATAGAGACTGTCTGTTCTGGGGTAGTAGGCATGTATGCAGTCTGAAAGAAATGTAAGCAAGTTGGCATGTTGGTCTTACAATGGGGTCAGGGAAGATTGGGCCCTCCAGATCTTTTGTACTACAATCCCCAAATTCCTTGCCATTGCTCATAATGGCTGAGGTGTTTGGGTGCTAATGTCCAAAGCATCCAGAGTACCCTATGTTCCTCTTGCCTGTGTCACCACAGTTGGCATGACAAATGGGGAAATAGATAAAAATGAAGCACAAAACCCTGTTAGATAACTGAATGCATGTGGAAGGGTGATAATGTCATTGATAGAAGCAGTTTTTGATAATGAAAAATGTGGTAGCTTTTCTAACTTCCTTATAATCCATTTCGTTGTATGGAAATTACTTCAGGTGACATTACAAGCCAGATAATTTTGATAACTAAAGGTTACTTATTTCTGTCCTGCAGCTCCCTCAGTTTCCATAAGATGAAAGGGATTACACGGGAATTGGAAAGACTGTAGGACAGAAGTAGGATGTTTTTAATTACTGAAAATAATTCCTGTTGTTCATGGCACCACCCTATTGCAGGTGGAACAGGATTTCTGCCACCATATTTTAAGTTATGTGATTTTTGATGTTTTAAAAATATGCAACCTTATCTAAGTAGCACTTACTCAGAGGGTGAGGAATTGCATATTAAAAGTCATTCACTGTAGTCATTGATTTGAGGAGAGATTGTCAAACTCTTTTAATAATTGGATTCTTCTGGTTGTTATATTTCCTGTGTAGGCTGATGTGAGCTGGTCAGTAAATGGCGTCCCTAAAGGGATTATTAAACAGTTTCTTGGGCACGTTCCTATTATGGTGAAGTCCAAACTCTGCAATCTGCATGGCCTTTCTCCCAAAGCGCTCATCAAACACCACGAGGAGGAAGAGGTATCACTGACTTTCATTGGTTCAACCTCCTGCTTCTTATATTAAGCATAGTGTTATTTCTGTGAATGTGGCATGTTGATTTCTAAGGTGAAGCTTTTTTCCCCCATTCTGCTTTTGCAAAGAGGAAGAGCCAAGAAAGATCGGTTGACGGTTCTTTGGTTTTCTTAATTGACTTAATACTGGTGGTTGATGTATTGTTTCACTTTCCTGAAAGAAAGCAGTATATAAAGCCTAAAATAAGAAAACAAAAAATAAACAGGATCCTATCATTGTTTATATAGGGTAACTCATTGCAGCTAATTGATAGGTACCGGGGCACATCTCGATCATGCAAGAAGGTCCATGGCCAAGCACATAATCAATAGACACCTTGTCAGTTTGCAGTGGCAAGTTATGCAGACCATATGTGCCTACCAATAGAGGTGGTAGGATTCTGGCCAAGATTATAGTTCAGCATTTAAACAACAAACTACGGCTGCAAATTTTTTAATAACATTTCAGAGCAGGTGTTGTGAGGCACTTGCTTTTTTTGTGTTTGCAAACTCAAGTAGATAACAACCATGTGGGCTTGTGAAATGCAAGGGCATTCAATGTGTTAACTTCCCCTCCAATTTTTAGAACATTTTCATTCACACCTGATTCTATATTCCATGGCTTTTCTGGTTCTTCTGGTGTACTTAACACTGCCCCTGTGGATGAGCCCACGGTTAATCTGAAGTGTCTAGCAATATGCTCTTGACTTGATCCTCCAAAGTGTTGTCATGGCAGTCCTGTTCAGAAATGTGTGCAGTTGAGTTCAGTGGAACTTGCTCTACTTTATGTGTTAAGACTGTAGCCTTGTACTAGTCATGCTCCTTGTTTTAAGGCATATAATGGGGTGGGCAGGTTTTAGCTCCCTAGATGGCCCTAGATTGCAGCTCACGTGATCCCTCATTCATTCATCATTAGGCATCCTTCAGTCTCGAAAGACTATGGTAACGTGCTCTGTATGGAGGACTTGGAACAGCATCTAGTGTGGCTGAGAAGGCCAATTCGAGAATGACAATCCCTTCCACACTGAAGACAAATCCAATCTGTCCCCTGTCCAGCTCCCTGATTTTGCTGTTTTTGTAACTGCGTCTTTGCCTTGGCCTGCTGGACAAGGGTCTCTTCAAATTGGGAGATCCCTCACTATTCACAGCATTAACTAGGGCTCATAGGAGTCTAGCAACATCTGGAGAATACAAGTTTGCCCATCCAGATGCATGATGAATCGTCTGATACTTTTTCATACAGTGATAATTCTGTTAAGCAACATGAATATAGTTTGTAGCACTAGCTGTTATGTCTCATCAGGTCACTTCCTACATAATGGCAAACTTAATAAGAGCTTTTTAACTCAGATTTTTAAAATTTAGATTGGGTTATTAACAATTTAAATCAGTTTTTAATTAGATTTTTCCTCAGAAAGCTTTTTTTTTCAATCAAAAGATGTTTTTCTCTTTTAAGGTACATTATAGGCCAGAGGTTTTTCATAATAAAATAAGGATTAATTTTTAATTATATAATATGAGATTGTATGTTCATGCAATATTTACATTTTTCTGTATATGAATTTTATTAATTCATTCATTAGACCCCAGTGTTATGCTCTCTCAGAGGTTTTGGTAAATTTATTTTGGGTGATTTTTTAAAATCTAAAATATATCATCACAGATATTCGGTTTTGCAGTCTCCAAAACTGGATTTATATTTACAGAGATTATATACTACCTTGCTTTTCAGAGTATGTGAGAGTATGTTCAAGGTGTGGTTTATCATTGCCAATGACCTTCCATGGCCAAGGAGTGATTTGAAGATAGAATCTTTTGAGTCTCAGTCCAACATTCTTACTAACTACACTATGCTTGATGTCCATTGTATTAGAGCTGTCAGTCATTTAAGACTTCCACGTGACTCATCAAATGCCTGAAAACCCTTTGCCTGCCTAATTTATCTGTAAAAAAGGAACTTTTTTTGCCTTAACTTCATTGCTTAAAATGTTTACTTTTTAAAGTGCAAGAAAGGATGATGGGGCAATTTGTTATCTGCTTTTAAATTGATCGGCATTTCCAGGAGCACAATGTGTCTTAAAAATATAATAATACAGCCTTGCATACATTATTAAAAAAGAAAAAGCACCAGGCTTGCTTTTACAAACACCAGGTGGGGTGATGGTATGCTCTTCACTTCCAGTCACAATAACGTTTGTGCTTGCTTAACCAGCAGAAACCCAAGTTGATTGATCAACCAATTCAGTTTCATAGCTCTGCTAAGTGCTTATTCAATTTTCTTTCTTCCTTTGGCAGGAAATGGGAGGCTATTTCATAATTAATGGTATAGAAAAGGTGATCAGAATGGTGATTATGCCAAGGCGTAACTTTCCTCTTGCAATGGTAAAACCAAAATGGAAATCTAGAGGCCCTGGCTACACAAAATACGGTAACTATAATTAACAATATTGTGTTTTGTTCTGAGTTGTTGCAACATGCATTTTGTTAGATGGGTTTTTTGGTCTGATCCAGTTTATTATCTACATTATTTCTGATGTTCTGTTTTCATTGTTTTGTAGAGATGTTTTCACTTCCTTACTAAATATTCTGTAAATTTTTAAGGTGGAGATGTAGCCTACTCTACTTATGTCTCCTGTGTCCCTCCCAACTTCTGTTTAAAAAAAGATTGTTCATGTTACCTTTTAAAAGGAGCAGACCTTCTGATGTGACTTGTTTTGCTTCCCAAAGGGCCTATATAAAACTGGAAGTGGACATCTGTTTTCAGTTTTAGAATGATGATGTAGCCCATGATGGGTCCTAGGGAGCAGAAAGTGGGGGAAAAGGTCTTCAGATTCCCAGAGCTTGCCAACCCTTGCCATAAATAAAACAAAGAGTACATGAACAGAACAGTAATTTCATATGAAACATTTATCAGTCAAGCACAGTGTTTAGTTTCCCCAAATGCTTCAGTGTAATATATGTTAAATAAAATTGTCTATGAATTGCTCATAGTTCAGTCATGGAGTCAGTGTGTAACAATGGTTACAGTATTCATGAGTTCTGGGAAACAGCGTTCGTTCATTCCTGACACTCACCGGTTAATGGCAGGCCAGTTAGCAGGGTTGTTAGGAGAGTAAATAGCAGGGAGATCCACTGTCTCACCGTGAGCTCATGGATGAAAGACAAGATAAAAATGTAGTTAAAGAGATAGTGAACGTGTTTTGCATGGAGAAAGTTCCTGATTCACCACTATGCATATACTTTGTGTGTTTTACATGCCACTAGTTGCATGTGACTTACATCAACCCTAATAAGGATTTCAGTGTTAGGAATGGTTGTACCAATTCCACACAAACACCCAGTATGTTTCCGTGGTTGCATGAGAAACCTACGTCTCCTGAGTCCTGACCCTTCATGCTATCCATTACACCAGCTCTTTTCCCTACGTCTCCTGAGTCCTGACCCTTCATGATATCCACTACACCAGTGGTTAGCATGAAGATCCTCAGCTCTTTTGGACTGCAACTTCCAGAAGTCTTCATCACTTAGTGTACAGTCCAGGATTTCTGGGAGTTATAGTCCAAGGACATCTGGGGAACCAAGATTGGGAACCACTATGCTACATTATACTGGATATCCCAAGCACATTCTTTACGAGGGCTGGAAAAGAGAGTTGCTCAGGATCCTGAGAGAAGAGCCTCTTCCAAATTCAGGTAGAGAGTGAGAGGTGAGGAGCGAGAGCTTGGCTTTCCTCTACCGAGAGAGTTGCTCAGGATCCTGAGAGAAGAGTCTCTTCCGAATTCAGGTAGAGATTGTAGAGGTAAGGAGGAGCGAGAGCTTGGCTTTCCTCTACCAAGCAGTGTAAAATACACACAGTGTCTTTTTTGTGTCAAAATGTTAATTGCATGATATTTAAACTGAACTGAGTAATTCCTTCAAGCAGTATTGTGCCATGATTGTGCATATGTCTAGCCTCCCAATTTGTAGGAGTCTTGAATTCTTTATGAATTCTGCTTCCCTTGGGGGGTTGCTATAAGTGCTGCTTCCCTGTGCTTTCCAACCCTTGAAAAGAACTTTGTCCTTTGGAGCATTAAAGGAAAAGCCTGCCCCATCTTTTGCATGACATTTTTTGAATACAGCTAACATTTTCTCCTGAATTTTCTTTTCTCCTGCTTAAACTCGCCCAGCTTTTTGTGCCATTCCTCTTAGAACTTGATTTGCAAAGCATCGCCATCCTTCCTTGAGTTTCCTCTCCTTTGTCAGTGCCCTTCTTGCAGGGAGTTAATTCCATCTATTGCTTGATGACTCAAATAAAGATAAATCTTAACAACTGAATGTCCTCCAAATTAGGTGATGCTAAGATTGAACAATTGGTTGATTGCACATTAGTTACCTTTTCATTTATACCATTGATTGGAATTGTCTTTTAATTTAGACAATGCTATGGTGCATTAATCCTAAGAACAGTGTTTCTTTTGGATGACTTCTAGGAATCACAATGCGCAGCGTTAGAGACGAACATACAGCAGTTAACATGACTCTCCATTACCTTGAAAGTGGCATGGTGATGGTGAACTTCATCTACCGGAGGGAGCTGTTCTTCCTTCCTTTGGGATTTGTACTAAAGGTATTAATTACACTGCGTTCTCTTCTTGGGTCACTTTGCATTTAGGAGCCTTGCATTTAGAAGAATGAGGTCAGATACAATAACTGCATATTTGTCTATCTCTGTCTGAAATAATATTAAAAACTTCAACAATAAATATTACAATATTTTAAAGGAATCGAACCATTATAATAGTAAAACTAGTCGATAAAAACAGTTGTAAAAAGTCCCATATTAAACAAAAATTATCAGATAGCTCAGTCACTTTAAAAAAGCCTGCCTAAACACAAAGGCTTTTGCTTGCTTGCAGAAGGAAAGCATGGATGGGGCCAGCCGGGCCTCCCGTAGGAAGGAGTTCCAGAGTCTGGACTCTGTTACAGAGAAGGCTCATACTAGGTCTGCCTTTGCAATGCAGATAAATAGTTACTTAATTTCTCTTGATACTGTGTGATACCTTATTCCCACCTCTTCTTCACACTTCATCCTTTTTAGAGTCAGCCCCTGAGCAATATTGCATGTAGTGAGCATTAGCATTTTTTAGAAAAGGCGGAGCAGTGAGTGGCAGCCATTCATTCAGCCCCTGTGCAGACTGGGAGCGGTGTGCATGGCACATAAGGAGCTATTGGGGACCAAACAATAGGGGACACAGAGTCATAGAATTGGGAAAGTCTAAGAAGGTCATTGAGTCCTACCCCCTCCCTCCAGTGTTGTCCAATATACCTGGAGGCTTCCATAGTGAGAAAATATGATACATAGGTCATTGAGTCCTACCCCCTCCCTCCAGCGTTGTCCAATATACATGGAGGCTTCCAGAGTGAGAAAATATGATACATTTAGAGTGGGCAACTTTGGACAGTCCAGGGAGCATTTTCTTTTGCCTGTGGGGATTGCATGGACCACC